CCTGCCGCACGCATTCGTGGGACGCCATAGGTCTAGCCTAGGTGGTCCGATCCTTCGCTTCCCCAAGGGTACCACGCCGGTCATATGCACAACAATGCAAAGCATACTCGAGTCAAAGACGATGATAGCATGATCATTACGTCCTCAACGCTTATATGCTGTCGTCCGGTCTCAACGTCTCCCGTGAGGACCAGGGGGTACTACGTTGGCCATACGCAAGCTTCACGAAAGGTCACAAGTAGAAGACAGCCTCTGTCTAAGTTCCCGCCAGGGGGGTCACCACGTACCACCACGAAACCGTTCCAAATGTGACAAGGGCTGGTTTTTGGAAACATTTCTGTCACCCCGTGGTACAGATGGCCATACACCCTCCCCCATCTTTGCAGATAGGATCTAGTGCAATGGCCCTCGTGTGACTCTGCTAAGGCACACGCCGCCCATGCCGACCCTAGGCCGACACGAGTACAGCTTGTGCTTTAGAGAGGTTGCCACGCCCTCTGGGCTGTCCCTTTATTTTGTGCCCGGATACCCCCCATGCAACCAATGGTTGGGAGGGGTCACAGGATAGAATGAAGGAGTTCGGATTGAGAAAAAGGGCCGTGGATGAGAACACGAGGTGAACCGTTTCGGGGAACCACATTAAACCATCCATCGTCGCCGTGGTTCCACATAAAGTGGGCCATAACTCCGAGGGTGAGCGCAGAGGAACTCCCCCGCAATGTCCCGGTGACGACCCGAAAACAAGCTGCAGCCTCCAGTAAGATAGCCTGAAGTGGTACTGGATATTCCTACGACGCCTATACCGTATCACCTCAAAAGTAAGACAAGTCAAATTCCACCACAGCACTTCATATTACGCGGGTTAAACCTTTCATTCAAGCAAATAAATTACTTTCACTCCCAGGCAACATACACTCACTCAGAGTACTCGATATCCTCGGAGTAGGGGACAGTCCCTTCATTCGCGCTAAAAATTTACATTCACACCAACATAACACAGCACATAAAAAACAACACTCTACATTTAAACACTTGTATAACCCTGACAGCAATCCATGCCCGCTGCTTTGTCGTAATGCCACGCATTTACCGTAACTCATCTTGTAGACTTCTAGTTTTCTGCATCGTCCATTATGCTGAACGCTAATCTTTCATTACGTGATGAACACCGACGTCCTCTTTCCTGCCAAGTTCTCACGTTAAGCCTAGTATGACTTGTGCGTAACCTGATAGGTATGACCCTTTCTCTTACACGCGGCCTCCGTGGACCAGGGACCAATATCAGTCTTTATCTGCTATATTTGGTAGAAGTCTGTCCACATCGATTTTCCTATTTGTCTTTTACTTTATTCTTCATTAATTTCGCCTCATCTGCTGAGATTACTTTAACTTGTGATTTTGTCGTTACCGATAACTTATCTGTCCTGTCAGACGAGTTTGAGAGTTACGCCATTTTCACAGTTGGGTCTGTGAGATTTCTGAGAAATCAAGTCTTTTTTATAACGTCATGAAGGATGGGGTACGTATTTAGGCTTATCTTTGTCGGTGTATTTGGTAGATCAAGCCTGGTTTTTATTGTTCTGCTCTGTCTTTCTGATCTTCGGTCCTTCTTATTTTCAATTGTTATAGTGTTTAGAATAGAGTATATGATGTCGGTAAACCGTTGTTTAGTGGTGTGTTCGTTAGTTTTGTTAGTGTTAAATGTGATACGTTTGTACATTTTCAAATTTTCGTCCTTTCAACACGTCGTGAAATAGTTTCAGCGAACTCGTGTAGTATAACTTCCCAATTTACCATGCAGACGACACAAAAAAATCTGATAATACGTTAACAGTTAAAAATATAATGTCTTCTAATAATTTTTCTATTAATAATTATTTATAGTAAAATATTGTTTCGTCAAATTTTATTAGTAGTAATTTCATTATGGTTCAAAAATACTTTCTTGTAATAACATCAGAGTGTTTGATGTGCTTTAGTCATTTTGTGCCGAATTAATTCTAACTTATTCATGCGAATAGCATAAAATACAACAGGAATGCATTAAATATCTGATACATCTTAGGAGTAAATATATATTACACATGACAAGTGACTGAACAAAAACTCTCAATTGAGAACAACTTAATTAGCTTCGTTAATTACCGGTTAGTAAATAAATAAAAATCCCCAGGGCAAGTTTCAACATGTGACATAAACACGTTGTTTATTGATTCATTTCTCGTTTACTAAAATTTGACAGCGTTTTGTGGACCCTTGGTTATATTATATTAAGTTTAAGTTACATCTGCCTTTTTTAGATTTTTTATCAAAATTTGTTTTACACGGTTTTTAAATTGTATGCCCGATTAAATAATAGCAAATTAAATTTTTATCCTTTTCGATTTTTCGTAACTTACCGTCTGGAAAAGAATTTGAGAGTTTGTATTTATGTATTTTCATTACACTAACAAATATCCAAGCTACTTCGTTCTTCGTATTACTAAACTTCCCATTTTTGATTAAATAAAGCATCTTTTCTTATCTTTCTTACTCTGTATACATATATCTAAATATATCTAATGATCTTTCTATATAACCTTTTATTTATCTATTTACAATCTCCACATTCTATACAAACAGAGTACACTTGTTTAATTGGACAACAATTTTACTGCATATTGAGTAAACATTTCAGTAAATATGCAGAGTTCTGGTAGGTATCAACTATTAAAGGGGCAAATATTAGTAAAATTGGTATTAATAAAAATAATAGAAAATTATATACACTGTAAAATATCTTTTTTTCTTTAGGGGCTACGCAACAGTAGAGGTCATATCAAACTTCAACAAACGCTACCAAGTGGGAAATGATCTAGTTATTCATAGTTTATCAGACTAGTGTAATTGAAAAGAGTGAACGAAATATTGTGTAAACAAAAAATCCTGATGGAGTCTCTGCGTTATTTTGTTTGTTACCAACGGTTTGCCTAAATTTGAATACTTTTCCTGTAAACATGTTTCTGATACCTATGGTACAAATGCAATAAAAATAAGCGGTTTAAAGTTTTGACTTTTTCACTAGTGAAACAGGTATATTCAGACATTTCTTCACAACATCAATGTCTAAACTTTTAATCAAATTCTAAACTCGAATGAAACATAATTTTCATTGTGTAGAGATTAGTGACCGTTAATCGATAGTTATTCAGATATCGTGAGATGCGGTCGGGAGTGATGTAGGTTTCAGAAAAACATTTTATTTATCGTGCCAACGTTTCGATCTTTTATTGAGATCATCTTCAGGGCTCAAAGTGTTTGTCTTCTGTGTAAGTGTGCCATCCTTGTGTGTCGTGTTGAGAGTGCCATTTTGAATAATTTTCATTAAAGAAAACTCGCGACTTCATTACGCTAGAAACTTAAGACATAAAAAGTACCTTTCAATTATTTCAACAGGGAAAGCATTCAGCACGTTGGGAAGCGAATAACAAGGTCTATTTTAATTAAGTTGTTTGTAAATAAATTTATTTATTTGTTATGTGAGCTGGAGGATTTGTTTAATTTAATTTTTTGATTGGTCACGAAAATATTTTTCTATAAGGGTCAGTTACATTATGTATAAAGAAAAAAAGATTTTATTTGTATACAATTGACCACAGCTTCAGTGAGCAATTAATTACCTCCCAGAGTTGCATTTACAATTCTTTCTGATATTCATATAAATTACTGGTATACACAGAAAAGCATGTCAGAAAAAAACGAAAGCAAATTCTGTGATAAAAACTTTTGCGTTGTGGTTTCATGCGGTCTTCCATTCTCTTTTTTTTCGCAACAGCGTTTTGAGGGTTCACAACAGCAGAAGTTATATCAACGGGGGTTCCGGTGTTTTTGAAAAAAATCCCATTTGTAGGTATGTCGGGATCGAATGCAGGGCCGCTGGATTTGAACCCGGGACCTTTAACTTACAATAAAGAGCGTCGTGTCAACGCCAGAACTGTTGCGACATTCTTGCCTGATTTTCAAAGCCGACACATCCGACATGATCTTCTCTGATTTAACTATTTTCTTGCATTACTTTACCTACCTCATGTGTCTTCAAATAATCTATAATGACACTGGCGAAAAGCTATTCTTACTTTCACTAATTTCGTGGTCCGCTTGACCAATTAATATATTACAATTAATTAAGGTTTTCAGTTGAGATAAAAATGTCAATAGCACGAGCGGGATTCGAATAAAGCCCATTTGTAAGTACGTAGGTTTCGAATCCTGCAGTCGAACCCTGGACCTTTACCTTATAGTGATGAGCGCCGTGTCAACGCCTAATTAGGCCGTGGCATTCCCATCCAATTACTATTATTTTCATTGCACGATAAACGTGTTCATACAATAAATACTGTGAATATTTTAGTTTAAAAAAAGGCCTGATTTAGACTTTTTTTACGAGGGTTCGCAACAGCAGAGATTATAACAACCCTCGAGGTGCCGGTGTTTTTGAAAAAAAGCCCATTTGTAGGTATGTCCAGTTCGAATGCAGAGCCTCTGGATGCGAACCCGGAACCTTTACCTTACAGTGATGAGCGCCGTGTCAACGCCTACCTGATGCGGGCACCGACTCCCCCTTAATAATTTAGACTTTTTTGCATCATAATATTGTTTTCTTTTAAGGTTTTGTCCAAATTGTCGTGTTCATTTAATTTTTGACGAATCAATTTTTTGCCTGAATATTTTGAAAATCTGAGCACTAATTACATTCAGAAGGTAATGTTTAAATTTATTTATTTGGACAACTTCTTTTTATTTACTATTTATGCCTATTTAAAGTGTATTTATTTATGTAAAGCATGATATTATATTATAAAGAAATTTATTACCGTAATATCCGAGCCGAAAAGTGTATAAAAATTACACAACCTCCAACTATTAATAGCTCAGAAAGAAAAGGAAACCATGACACGTAATTCTACAATTACGACGAAACCGTAATCTTGAAATCGATTATATAAATGGCTGTTGCTTACATGAGGCAAGGTCTTGGAGCTGCTGGAACTCTGCGGGGGAGAGCTTGTCCCAGTGCAGGGTCGACATAATTTGGCCCGTTCACTTCTCCATCTGGAAAACACACAAGAACTTGAGATTTTCTATCAGGACAAAATTAATTTTCTGACCTCATGCTTCAACCTGGGAATCGTGTGCAGCATGCGTTTGTATTCTGACATGTGTGCTACCAATATAATTTCCCGTATAAAAATAATTATTGTGCGTGCTGAGATCATTTTTTTATGCAAATGTGTGTGTGTGCCCTGCTGTAAAATATATCAATTAGGCAATGCTTATTTATTTTTATTTTTACACACAATTTTATATTTAAACACGCAACACATTTTAGAGCAAACTGAATGTTTCGACCGATTTAAATTTATTTTTATATTAATTCATTTACGTTTTAGTGGTCAATTGTGTAAATTACTTTTTACAAATAATCATTCTTTTTATGTAAGGTCTTGGTCGAAATGAAAAAGTTAGTGTCATGAACAGGATTTGAACCCACAACCTTCGGCTCAAAACGCCGCTGCTCTACCACTTGAGCTATCGTGACTTCGATCCTCTCGGACACCAACTCTCCATCTGAACCTACAACCGTTTGACTTTTCAATCTTTGTGCCATTTTCAAATGTCGTGTATTGAGGATTGGATTCTCAGCGACTTATGAAGTGGCCACGGGGAGCTGTTTAGTGAAGTGATACTTCTTTTGCTTATTAAATATTACCATTACAAACGTTTTTTCCCATCGTCGGCTCTTTTTATCTCTAAGAAGCCGACTACTTATACAAAAATGTCTTTCTATACCGACTTCCTTCCACACCCCTTCAAAATCCAACGTATATAAACATAAAACAGCAATATCTCACTGGCACTCTCAACACGACACGCAAGGATGGCACAATTACACTGAAGACAAACACTTTGAGCCCAGAAGATGATCTCAATAAAAGATCGAAACGTTGGCAGGATAAAGAAAATGTTTTTCTGAAACCTACATCACACCCGACCGCATCTCACGATATCTGAATAACTATCGATTAACGGTCACTAATCTCTACACAGTTAATATTGTGTTATTTATTAAAAAATGACCAGGGATGAGGCTAATTAGAAATACAAATCTTAGTCCCTTCGTCAAGTTTTCTGTGATTATATTGTTACTCCAATAGAAGTATAAAAATTAATGATTTAAACAATTAGAACATTTATTCTCAATTTGTAAATGTATAGGTTCAAGTGGACGAGGTCGTGTCCTCTATAATGTCCTTTATTCTATTCACCTCACAATTCACTTCTACACCGCCTTGATCTATCCTCTGATCAATGACCAATCCTCCTAGCTATAGACATATATCCCGTCCCTATTTCACACATAGTAACACTATTAAATGGTCGAACAGACTGCATGCAATGCACGTAGACGACAATACAAATCTTAGCATGTCTTTAAAGATGGCCGACGACATCGACTTAACCGTAGAATGGTTAACATTTCAATAACACATGCCGATCATTGCCTCGACGCTGAACACCTACGAGCACACCTCGTCCCAATATTACCATTCTACATACACCAATTCATCAATAGAAAACCCATGCCAGAAGTGGCATCACTGCCTTTCGGATAACAAATATTTCACAGACTTGCGCATCACCTAAACACAGAACTAAGAACTTATCGCTCCGACAAGCAGTAGTACACTCAAAAAGTAACAGTAGATAACAAGTCGCTCCGGCTTGCTACTAGGAAAATCCTGTCTTTCCGTAAGACTATCTTCGCTTCTTACTTGTATACTGCCTTCATCCCATACGCCAACATCATAGATCCCGATTATGTCTTATAGACTGAAGAATTTCTAAACTTTTCTCTTCCGTATCTCTTCCTTCTAAACGTTCTCTCCGTCTGATGTTCAGTGCGCTATACTCAAATTTAAAAAACTCCTAGATTCGACCTGCAAATCCTGAAATACCTTTCGAGAAAATCCATAATACTTATTACCTACATTTAATTCAGACCTATGCATAACCTATTTTTTCATTCCGGGAATGTTTACGCCTGCATTTAAATTGTATTTTTGTTTTTAATTTGTTAGTTTGTTTGGTCTCGTTGCCACGGGGTACGAATGTTTACGCCTCCCGTTGCTATGGGAACCAAATGTTTACGCTTTCGGTTGCCATGAGCACCAGTGTTTACACGTCGCCGTTGCTACGGTGATTTGTTTTGTATTTTTCATTACTATGGAAAACCCCCCCCCCTGAACTCTGTTTCTTTAAATTTAGATGTTTCAGGCAGTAACATTTTGTATAAGTTATTTTTTATTGTGAATTCGATAGTTTAAGTTCTGTTCAACAATACGGGCGTTATTATATTCGTTGTTCTACGTATTGATTCACAACGACCGCACGCCTGATATCTTCCCGCACCACAGCATAAGTGGACCCGACTTCATCAGTCTTTCCCGCACAACCGCAACGCCACATCGCATCTATACATCAAGAGTACTCACAAATGAACTTTCATATATATATACACACATACATACATACATATTTTTTTTGTATCTTCATTCTAACTTAGTTTTTTCTTTCTTTTCTAAATTCATTGAAGAGCTCTTCCGTTATTTCTTTGTTTAATTAATTTTTAATTTAAAACTAATACTATAATTTTATTTGATAGTATTATTATTATTACACGGGGACCGCGGTAGCCGAGTGGCTAGCATGAGAGACTCTCACGCCGCGGTCGTGGGTTCGATTCCCACCGTCGCCTCTGGCCCTTTTTTCCCGATAACCACCAATTTGAACACACAAGAATTCGTACTATGGCTAATATGCAAGCTCATAAGGCCAATAATAATAACAATAAAAAAATATTATTATTACACTAAGAAACTAACTTTGTTTACTTTTGCCGTAACTTAGCTGTCTTTTCTTATAATATATTTGTTATTTATATTATATAACATTTTATTTTGCATGTTATTGCCTATTGACGCTATCTTAAGGATTTTTAATATACAGAAGCTCTAGATCCAATCAGGTGCGTGATTTGAGTGGCAAAATGTCGTAAAATAGATCTGACAACACATTTGGGAAAAAGATTACCTCCCACAAACGGCCGAGGTCGCTGAATACCCAACAGGGAATATTAACGCTAACAGTATGATTCAGATATTATTTCTGCCTCCCTTGAGTTGGGACAGAATAGTTCGGGGTCCTTCCTTTGCCCTGGCTCATGCTTTGAATGAGTATGTCATCCGGGCTTGCTATTCTTGCTTCCTTAACCCTCGAATTTAACTCACTGTCTTCTCCAAACTACCCAATCTTTGTGGGTGTACCTCAGAGCAGTACACTACTCTAAATACTATAACTAGCTAGTATCTACTAGTAGTATAAATTTCCCCGTACTGAACCAGGTAACCAATCAAACCATCTCTCTAACCTCCTTTTAAGTAACTCTGGTCTAATATTTTCCTTTAGAAACCTTCAGGAACTCCTCACACTACTTGAGTCTTGGTGTGATAAAAGAATACTATTGAACCAAGAAAATTACATTCACATTACCTTCATCCAAAATATCTATCACAAAATATCTCAAAACTCCGGTCTACTTCAATCAAATACCCCTCCAAAGCAGTCGAGGTGCGGCGTACCTAGGACTATATATCCAAAAATTCTCATCCCTCCAAACCTCCTCGCCGACTAAAAAGCCGCGGGATCTTTCCAGTGATAGTGAAACTAACCACTATTAGGTAGAGAACACTTATGAAACGTAGGAGTACTGTCCAGTCGTTAGTTTCTCCACTCTTGTTTGTATATTTTATTTTATGCACTCACTGTTAGGTTATACCCAATTGAAGAAAGTTGTAATATACTCTAAATAAAAACAATGATTTCAAGTTGATTAAATGAAATTAAAGGTTGAAATTATATTGACCCAGATCAATCGTGTCTAGAATAATTTATTACTTTCCTTATTAAACTATTTTCATGCATTTGCAATAATTTTATTATTCGCAATTAATTCGTATTTTTTAGTTTTTTCACCTACTTAGATTTTTACTCATTTTACGACGGTTGTGTTTTTCTTTTCTTAAAAATTATCACCTGGATTGTATTTTTTACATTGTCTATGCAAATATCTAGAGCCATCCAGTTTAATTTCATTGATGTCACGTTCATTCACTTCACCTAATCTTAATGATTCACTTCATTAAATTTTAAACATTTTATTTAGTGATTGTAAGTTTTTTAGCCTTAACTTGATCCGCACTCAGAACCATCTGTAAATTCTGGACTTCTGATCCCATGTCTTCATGATTATGAATAGAGCGACCAAATTCGCGTAGTAAATATCGCCTATATAATTTATAACTATAACTATCGTCGTTCCAGAGCAGGTCAGTGACTGCGTTTCCAAGAAGTAAGAACAAATACACGACGAACATGGATGATAGAAATATAGAAAATTTCATCATCAAGGAAAGGTTAGCCAGGAAAGGGACCGCCCAGTAATTCGTCATATAATAGATAATCTGCAACCAAATCATGTAGAACATGCAGTAAATGAACGTGACGATTCCTCCGGCTATATTGTTCACGGGATCACCCCTGCATACGAAGATATCCAAGATGAGGATAACCGGAATGACAGTATTAACCAAGTGCTTCGGCCAAAATGGCAGAATCGGAATATTTTTGTCATGAAGCGCACGTGGGTCGATGTAATGAAATGTCCAGTATACAAAGCTATGACACCAACCGAATGGTACTGCCGCACTAGCACGGATGAAGGACCTTAGTTCAGAATAGCACAATGGGATATCTCTTGCATAATTACTCCACATTAACACATCCACAAAGATAGCGTAGAGGTTGTAAAGCAGTTGAATCAGCAAGTTGATGGTGTTGGAAAACTTGAAGTTATAGCCGAATCTTGCGAAGCGAGTTGATGCGGATTTGACAGATATGTAAGTGGTTAAAACCACCATGTAGAAACAATTGATGCAGCCCAATCCATGCACAGCGGTGGCTAATGCGAGGAAAATATCACGGTGCTCTCTTTCATTGGCGATCTGCATTATTCAGATAGTTTCACTTGAATAAAATACCAAGCTTATTGGTTCACTTATTTTAGAAAATCATTTTTCGATCTCAATTTGAATTGTCACATAAGCCCCGAATAATTGTATAAACTGAAATATATAAATATTATAAACGAAATGTAATTTAGGATTTTTTTTATATAGAGCATATGGAAATAGGTAAACCATATGACAAATTTAACTTAAAAACTGTTAAACTAATAATTAGTAAACAACTGTATACGTGCTATATATATGCTATTTATGCTGCTACGACAAACAGTTAAGGTGTCGCCCTCTGCGTGTTTTTACATATTTTGCTGGTCTGTCACCCGTGTAGTTTTCAATCTGCAGCCATTTGAGTTTTCAACTGTTATTGTTTTTTTGCTTTGTATGAAGACAAAATCAATAGCCTAAACGTTAGACTCTCATTTGTACCTCAGGTTGTCAAGTGTAAAACAGACACTATACATACAATCATACAACACACACACACACATACATACATACACACACTCATTATCACCCTATACACACATCGAAGTTTAGTCGAACCCACTCCATTCACGCGCTAATAATTTACTTTTGCTCTCCAGACGTCACACACTCACTCCAGAATATTCGATATTACTCGGGAAGGGGATAAACAATTATCCTTGTTTATTCGTTGCATTAATGTTTAAGGTGTTTGGTGATACGCACTCTTTTTTTGGTATATTAGGTGGGCATGTATAGGGTCTGCTCAATGTTAAAACGAAAGCAGCTTAGCAGAATGAGCCGGACTTCTTACTGAATTTTATTCCCCCAGGGCGGATGTACAGGTTAATAAGCTGAAAGGGGCCGCTTTACGGTCTCAGCTTTGAATACCAATGGGTATTACGAAAAACCCTTCCCAGAGTGGAACTTAGTTAATCAGTTATTGATGATTTTTGGGTCATCATTTTGAACTTGTAAAATTTAAGTAATAGCTATTGTCAAAAACTCAACAAAAAATTAACTATGTATTTGTTAAATAAAACGTGCGATATTTCTTTTAGCTAAAAGAATACCTGAATCCTATTATTCTCCAATCTAGAAAACGTTCACAACAGTTGGCATACACAAATACTTGCAAATTAGTCTTCTACCCACTTAACTGTTCATAATACAGTTCAAAATCCAGAAATGTGTCTTGTTTATCCGGGTACCGGCACACGCCCACTAAACTACCACTTAACGTGCCATCGATGAAAACGTCCATTTAAACTTTACCTCACATACCGCATAGTTGCCCAAATAAGAAAAAAACTTGGCAGCAATGAAAGAAAGCATGTGAATAAGTAGGAACAAACTAATAGAAATAAAGCCGAGTTTTGCGCGCAAATCTTCTTGTCGGGCGAAAAAAACAGGAAGAAACAGTCTTGATTTGTCTAAGAATAGGGCATTGTAGGTTGACTCATCTCTTCTTTGTGAAACATGTACAGTATTGGTGTAATGAATGTAATCAAAGAGTGAGCTAAATATGAGACTAAAAGATAATACCGGCAGTCAATTGTTCGAGATTCTTGAGGACAATTCGTCAAATATTTGCCTTCCGGGCCACTAAATTATTGCTGAAAATCTAGATTACTCTAGCCAGCTGAGTATGGGGTGGATTGATCTTCTTGGCCCTGGCGGGCGCGCACCCTTCAGGGAGCCACGGTTCTTTACAGACACCCCAGATTTGGAGTGGTGAGGTCGTTGGCATTGGTATGCACACCCCTGAAATGATCTCCGCAATTAGGTATGAACTACAGGCGCTATAATTTTGGGTGAAAAGGGGAATTCGGGTGAGGGGGGTGCGTTGAGCCATCGGGGCTCTCTCCCTGTCCGTTTCCAGAGCTGCTCAACAACCCTATCATAAAATATATGAGCTTATGTTAAGGCGGAATATAACCAGTAGGTAGCCTTTTTATTACTTACAAAAAGAAATGAAAAAACATTTATAAATCTGGGTATGCTTGTAAATGATTTTAAAAAATCACGTGGTTAAACAATACCTTCAACTGAATAACTGAAAATTCTGTCCCCATTCAAGTATAGATATTTTTTTGAAATAAAATTTACTTAGTTCAATCTAAATTTTAACAACAAATTAGTACTAAAATTCACATCCGATTCCATCTCATGGGCATTGGATAAAAAATGCTGGATAATAAGAAAAGTATGGACTAATAAGGTAAGATGTTTCTGTAGACTTAAGATCGAACACAGACATACTTCCAACTCCTCGAAAAGAGTTGACAAATTTTAATTGTAAGGATTCTCGACTTGAGAACTAGAGCTCACGGTATCGAAAACATAGATTGTCATACAATGTGGACGAAAAGTTACCGTATAAATTGACAGTGTGAGTTAGTCAATTGAACAAACTCGCTTTGATCTGAACAATACATCGTTTTTAATATTAACAAAAAATTTATAAACAAAGGAACATTATGAGTTTAGAAATTTTATTTGACGACAAATGCTTTACTGTTAGCATTATTACTCTTCATACTGATCGTAAGATCAACAGTATTGTCGTGAGATACGGAGTCTGGATTATCTTTAATAGAAATTGCTTCGCGTAGCCAAACACGTCTATATAATTTGTAATAATAACTGTCGTCGTTCCAGAACAGTTCGATGAGAGCGTTTCCAAGAATTAAGAACAAAAACACGATAACCGCGAATGTTACACACACCGAAAATTTCATCATTACGGTGAGTTTTTTTAGAAAATGGACCGCCCAGTGATTCGTCATGTAATAGATGATCTGCAACCAAACCATGTAGAATATGCAGTAACTGAACGAGATAATTGCGGCTGCGATACCGTTGGCGGCATCACCTTTGCATACAATGATGTCGGCGAGAAGGATAATCGGAACGATAGTATGTATTAAATGCACCAGCCAATGTGGGAAAGCCACAATTTGTCCTTCGTGAGTTGCATCTTTGCCTGTAAAATGAATAGTCCAGTGTACAACGATATGGCTCCAACCCAGTGGTATTGCCACACTTGCCCGAACGAAAGACCTTATTCGTTCACCGTTCAGAGGGGCGTCTCTTGCGTAATTATTCCAAGTCAACAAATCAATGATTAAAGCGAAGAGGTGGTAAAACGTTTGAATCAGAAAGTTGATGGAGCTGGAATACTTGAAGTTGTAGCAAAATCTTTGGTAGTAAGATGCCGCATAAATGACTGAATGGTAAGTGGTGACACTGAGCACATACGAGCAGTGAATCAAGCCCCATCCATGAACGCAGGTGGATAATCCGAGGAAAAGATCACGGTGCTCTCTTTCGTTTACAATCTGCATTATTCAAATATTTTCAGTCAAATGAATAATAAGGAATTCATCGGATTACTTATTTAGCACATCTTTGGCGAACCTAATGCGAATTCTCACATAAGCCTCAAGTAATAATAAAAACTAAAATAAAGGAAATTTTGAAATAAAATTTTGTTCAATTTTATTTCAAACATATGATACAATCGACCATTCCTTTGAATTCGATTATACTAACGAAAATACGATTTTTTAAAAAATGGGTGTTCGCAACAGAAATGTCATTCAATCCCCCATGGTGCCTGTGTTAATGAAAAAATCCCATTTCTTATATATGTTGGGTATCACTGGGGGTGTTACTGTAAGGTAAAGGTTAATCCAGTGGGTCCGAATTCGAATACGAGACCATTACAGAGATGAGTCACCGCGTCATCAGTTAACCTTTGTGGACCCCGACGAACCTCGATCTTTTCTCTCTAATTCTAATCGTATAATTATTATAGATATAATGTCTAGGTTTGACCAATGTTTTTATCAACTATCATTTTAAATCATTCAAAGTGAAATTCTACCCCTCGAAAACAGACAGGTAGAAAATTAGAGACAACTACATTGGTATTTGATTTTAAATTTCATTTTTGAATTTAACTATCAGTCCTAGCAATCCACCGGCAATTCCAGATTTTGTCATTTACAATAAATTACCCGTCAGCTTGGAGAATCACTCATGTCGGGGTGGGGCCGAGGTTCGGCTTCGGGTGCTGTCAACAGCTAGGTCAATTTGCAGTTCCTAGATCCAAATTCATTCCCACTCTCATCCATTCTTAAAAACGTATATTATTTCTTGTTTAAATACCATTTACTTAATTACGGTGTTGGAGTATTCGATATTCCTCTATAACCCTTTATACAACTAACATAATTGAGGGTCGATGGAGTCCTCAACATTCCGCCATAAACCCTCCTAAATTACACATTCACGCCAATAAATTCACTCTCAACATACGCCCGGTACACAAAACTATCAGTACTATGCAGAATAAAACAACCCTGTTACGTCCAAACATCGGAACAGGGGATCCAGACATTCGCTGCCATGCTCAAGCCGATTCTCATAACGATGTGGTATTCCTACACGCTCTCTATATAGAGCCAAGGAGTTGCACCCTTCAATTAGATAGGACACATCGAACCACCTATCTCTACATGCCGGATACACGCTTTTTTGTAATTATTTCGTTAATTTTATTGATTTATTAATAAAATTTCACGTTAAAAGAAATGACTAATAAATTATGTAATCTTTGTAGTTATGTAATTGCTCTAAGCCCGAAGGCATTGCAAATTTGTCACCCAGTCCACATTAAATATAAGAAATATTTTGTTTAAAAAAATACATCAAACATAAATCTTTAAAATAATACATCAAACATAAACCAGGCTAGGGGAAAATGTATAAAAAAAAACCGAGGCATTACACAGAACAACAATGCTATAGAACACAACATTAGAAGCATATACAGTAGTTCAATAAATAAATAGAAAAAAGAAAATATATTTATTATTATTAAGAAAATATATATATAAAAAAAGAAAGATGTAAGACAATAAGATATCAAGTACATAGTATACTATATAAAGCCTTAAACATAATAAACACAGACATAACACAGGATTTTATTATTTATTTATTAAGCCTATAAATTTACACATATTTATCACCGCAATTGGCTAAACCAGGTACATTGGGAGGCACACATTAACCTGCCGATAATTTTTAAAGCAGCATTTTGACCTACCTGGAGGCTGGAGCTTAACACAATTTGATTTATGCATATTTCCCCAAATGAAAGCACCGTTGCATTAATGGAGGAATGTATAGTACATAATTTTAATACCGTCCATAAATGGATGCTTATTAAAGACCAAGTAAAGATTCCTTAAGACGGTCCAAGCTTTTCAGTATTATGTTCAGTGCGGTAACTAAAATTATGTATGAAATCCAGATTCATTCTAACATTCTTAGCTCATGGTATGGGTGAGTTATTTATGATGACATAATTGACAATTAGCAAATTAGCAGGAAAACAAACACAAACTTAGCAAGTTCATTAACTTTCCTTTGGATTTTTTTTTGCCTTATGATCTATGCATATTAACCATGGTGACGAATTCTTGTATGTGTGTTCATATTTGGGGGGGGGGTATCGTGAAAAAAGGACCAGATGTGGCGGTGGGAATCGAACCCACGACCGCGGCGTCTATGAGCCGAGAGTCTCCCACGCCAACCACTCGGCTACCGCGGTCCCCTAAAATTAAGAGGTCCCACCGAGATGGATTCTTTCCTAAATGGGAAAGAATAAAGTTAAAACCCAGTTAAATCAGCCATAAACGTGTCTAAAAATCAAAAATCATATGGTTTGACTATGGAATATTAAATAAAATAATATAGGAATGATTTCCTTAAATATTGAGATAACTTTTAGGTCGTATTGTTTTTGTGGGTGTATTTGCTTATTATTTTGTAGCCGTTCTTCTACGTTTATATTATTTTTGTGTTAAAAAAGATCGCGGACTTAAAATTTTCATTTTATAATTTTTTAAATTTATTTTTTCGTTTATTATCGAGTTCATTTTATATTATGTCTATACTTAAGTTTAAAAACTCGACGAGTAATTTCATAATGAGTTTGTTGGCGTCTGGATTGGAATTTTCGCTGTCATTAATCTTATACTTTGGGCCGGTAACACGATAGGCGTTCACTACGAAGTAAGTCCATCTCTGTATGTATTTAATGTCGAAGGCAAAGTCAACTAATTATAGTTCTCCATCGTATATATTTTGTGTTCGGACCCTTTAAGCTGTGTAGCCTCAGGTACCTGTTTATACGGTAAAGTTTGGTCCATGTTTACAATGCCGTATGATTTTTAGTTCCTCCTCAAGAGTACCAAGCCAATACACTATTAAGACTTCTTATGTAATCAATTGTCGTAAACATGGACGATTTTTGTTGCTTAACTTTTGCTAAATCAGATAATTGTTGTACAAAAAATATTTTACTGTTTTTAATCTTTTTAATGCTAATGTTACGATTACTGGCTATACCACCTCATTTGGTAATAATTTTTCTACTGTCGGATTTTGGATAAATACGTAATGGAGTCTCGTGAAATTTAAAGACTAAATGGTAAAATTGAATACAATTAAAAACACCACAAAAACGTCTCTAATTTGTAGTGTTAAATGTGCAGGTGTTCTTTTGTCGACAATATGGTATTAGTTTATTTAAAATTATTGATTTTGATAGACAGAAACGTGTCTGATAGACCAACTCAGCGAATAACTGTAACGTCCTAATTAAAAAACTAATAACAGCTTAGGGACAATTTTGAACAAAAGAAAAATTCAGACGGTACGTTACAATGAAAGTCTTCCCATGAAAACACAAATACATAACCAATAGTATTACAGGTTTACAGGTTAGGCAACATTTTTAGACTTGATTATAAACTATTGGTCGCCAAATATCAGAAGAAGAACTTCTGGGGAAATCAAGCCAAACCTGCATAAACGTATTTAAATAATTCCCTAGTTGCGTGGTCCGCTTGACCAATTAATATCATACAATTAATTAAGGTTGTTAGTTGAAATAAAAAAGTCAATGGCACGAGCGGGATTCGAACCCACGATCTTTCGGGGGCGTTGGTGGCCGCAAGGTTTAGTCTTTGACACGGCGCTCATCACTGTAAGGTAAAGGTCCCGGGTTCGAATCGAGCGGCCCTGCATTCGAACCCGACATACTTACAAATGGGCTTTTTTTCAAAAACACCGGCACCCTGAGGGTTTATATGACCTCTGCTGTTGCGAACCCTCGTAAAAAAAAGAAAAAATTTAAAAAAACCC